GGGCTTCAGAGAATTTATGTTGCTATCCTGTGAGTCAGTTATTTAGGATTGGGATTCTACTCACATTTAACTTCCACCATGAGCTCCTCTCTTTCAGCTGGGAGTGCTGTCTCTTTTCCTGTCCATTGATAAGAAGGCAAGTAGGCGTCAGAAGAGGGCTCCCTCTTTCTTCTGTGCTGACTACTTGTCTACAAACATACTGTCAGTGCATCCTCCCACCATTTGTACAGGAGAAGACACCAGGCGTGAGCTTCATCAAGTTGTTTGAGTCCACACAAATAGGAAGGAATGGAAGCAGGATTTAAACTCAGGACTTGGTGCTCCTGGAGCCTGTTCTTTTCCCCATACTAATAGGTCTTGAAGCTCTGTCTCTGAATGAGTAGCCTCAGCATTACCTCAGAACTATCAGACATGTGAATTCTCAGGCCCGTACAGGCCTGAACATCAGAAACTCTGAAGGAGAGGGCCCCTTAGTCTGTTTTAACATTCCCTCCAAGAGTGACTTCTGCTATGCACACAAGTATGAGAAGCACTTTCCTATACCATGTTTGCTTCCATGTGTGCTATGATATGTGTTAATTTAGCCACCAGAGTGTAAGCTCTCTGAAGGCAGGACTTCAGCCTCACTCGTCTCTGAAAAGGCATTGTACATGAAGCTGCTATGGAAACAGAACAACTGCAGTAGCTGGAGTGTACTGGGCTCTTATTCTATGCCAGAGGATGTGCTAAACTTCCATGTGCTGTATCTCACTAAATTATCAGGATGATTCTGTGGCATAGGTTCTATTAGTACTTGCCATTTACAAATGAAGACATTGGGACCCACATGGGCAAAGCAGCATGCTCCAAATCTAACGTATTAGAAGATGAAGCCAGGGCGTGAACCCAGAGGGTCTGATCCCAGGGCTCAGTCTCTGCAGGCTGCCTTGCTCTGCACATAGTACTGAATGATGTGTAAGTGTCAGACCATTACTTGCACCATGTGGAGAGAAAGTCAAAAGTGGAAAAAGGAGAGAATGAAAACATAGAGCAGGGGACAGAGAGGGCTTAGATGTCTGCTGGAAAGGAAAACATTTTCTTATGGAAGTGCATTAGCAGATTTGCACCACTATAATGGAATACTTGAGGCCATTAACTTGTAAAGAGAAAATGCTTCTTTGGCTCGTAGCTCAGGAAGTTTTAGTCCAAGCTTGGCTGGCTCCGTTGCTTTGGGCTCCTGGAGAGAGTTGTACGTCATGGCAAAAGCACATAGCAAAGCAGACTGCTTAATCTTGAGCCAGAAAGCAGAGACGATGAGGCCAGGGTCCCACAGTCCCCTTCAAGCAAACATCCCTAAAGGCCTAAGGACCTCCTATAAGACTCCACCTCCTAAAGATCCACAAGGGCCTCCCAGCAGTGTCACCCTTGGGACTAGGCCTTCGATGGATAGCTCTTTAGCAGGTATGCATCCAAGCCTTGTCAGGAAGCAAAAACAATCCTCAAGTCCCCTTAAATTCATTCCTTGTAGACCCAGTCATCTCAATTTCCTGTCCAGGAATGGCGTCCAGCCCACTGGGTCCTGTTCGGCCAAATAGTACCTGAACGAATGGCCTGAATTGCCCCAGAAGCGGCGGCTGTCGGGGAGCCATGGGAGGGGTGAGAGGGACAGGGGAGAGGAGTGTCTGTGGGTTCCCGTTCAGGTCGGGATGCTTGAATTCAGACTGCTTGGTCCGGGTCATGACTGTGCTGCTCAGAGTCAGTGTCACATTAGACATAAGACATTCTCTGTGCGGTTCAATTACTTTCCACTGTAAAGTGGGAAGAGTAATAGCTCAGACTGTGGCTGTGAGACCTTTACGAACAAAAGTGCTGTCTGGAGAATTCCATGTATATCCCATGACCACTGAGGTAGTCATCAGTCTTGGTGTCCAACAGGAGAGTCTTTTCTGCCTGAATTTCGTGCCCAGGGACACGGGTGGCTTCTCACCACTTCCTGTAGTCAGTCTTGGTGTCCAACAGGAGAGTCTTTTCTGCCTGAATTTCATGCCCAGGGACACGGGTGGCTTCTCACCACTTCCTGTAGATGCCCAGCCTTAGATGGCTCTGAGGCTGGAAACGACTTCACGGTCCTTTTGTCACAGGATCTAGCTAAAGCAGGAAGGACTCAGTGAGCCACCACCCCAGAAGCAGAGACACCTGAAGGAAGGTGAGCTGCTCCACACCCCAGCCCTCAGGACAGCGGCATTTCTCAGCTCCATGCGTCGAGTCCCACTTAGACGTCTGGGTTTCCCCACTGAGCAACCTCTTCCCCTCCCTCTCTCCAGCCCCTCCTCAGGCACCAAAGCGCCTTCCAAAATGTCTTCACCTTTCATGTGACGCCAGCACGCAAATCCCCCATTCCAAATAAATGAGAAGGAAACGCCTGTCCACCAGGTTTTGCTTGTGCCCCAGCAAGCCAGAGCCAGGATAAAATTTCGAGGCAGGGTGCATGTGTGTGTAATTGCTTCCTGAGAGGAAGACCTCCAGAGTCTGCTCCAAATGAGGTGTTAATGATGAGCGCCACAGGATTTGTTACTGTAGCAAAGACCCATCTGGATTGACTATATTAAATTGCTCTTTATGTGGATGTGGCCGGTAACAGACTCCTTTCCCTCTTTGTTAGGGAGCATCCTGCAAAAGGAAAAAATAAACATAAAAAATAAGACCCATAATATTCCTGCTCCCTTTCTTCTGCTGAGTCACTGTGGTCATGTTGGTTTATGTACCTCATGCCTCAGAGACCTTGTCTAGGGAAGGAATCCCTGAGGAATAGAACCTGAAATGTTGTCAGTGGATGCAATGCTTGAAGTATTAACTCTTTTTAAGATAAATAATCAACCATATTAATTATATAAAATATGATATTTTTCCTTACATGCATATATTGCACTTTGATCATATCTACCTCCTTACCACTTCTCTTTCAGCAATCCATGAGGAATCAAAATATTTGGTATGTAGCCTGAAAGCTGAAGCTTGGAGAAAACTAAGTAACTTCACAGTGTTCTGGAAGATGGACAAGTGGTAGGCTTTTTGTGTGTAAAATCGTTCTTCTGAAAGCTCTCTGAGTTGATGTCATAGACCTAAAGAACTGTTAGCGGGGTACTGGGGTACTCTAGCTGTTCCCAGGGGCTTTCTTGTCCCAAACAAAGAGTAGCACAGGAAATGAAGCTGTGGGGTTTTACATTTATGAAAGATACTAGAAGTGGGAAAAGAAGTATGCTCTGCAGAACAGAGCAAGTATGGGACAATTTTTTTAAATTTTACTTTTAGAGATAAAACAACCAAAACATACTAACAGACACACAGACATAAATGAAACAACATAAAAACAATAAAAACAATACAGAATTTCAGACAAGGTGAAAAGAAATTAACAATTGTTGTATTATATACTGTTGTCTTCATATTGGTTACTCAGATAAACAAATACAGGCATGTAAGAGTAATCAAACAATTAAATATCAATTGTGCCTTTCAAGAAAGCAATAGAAAGTAATAGTACAATTGTCCCGGCCATCTTGTATATGTATACGTGCATATTTTTCCCTTTCGTCTTTATTTTCTCCTTTCCCTCATCCCAGTCATTCTTTCCTTTTGAGCAGTTTCTTTCTCACTGTCTATTATACCTTTTAGATTTCATTTACTCTTTCAGATTTTATACTATGGAGACAATGCAATGTTTATACATGTGAGTCTGATTTATGTCACTTATGAATATGGTCTCTAGTGGCAACCATTTACCTATAAAAGCCTCAAGTTTATCTTTCTTTATAGCTGAGTAATATTCTATTATATAAAAATATCACATCTTTTTTATTCATTCCTCAGTTGATGGGCATTTGGGTTATTTCCATGATTTAGCTATTACAAATTGTGCTGCTATAAACATGGGTGCACATATATCGTATGGTGTCATAGTTTTAGTTCTTCTGGAAAAATACCCAGGAGGAGAATAGCTGGGTTGAATGGGACCTCTAATCCTAGTTTACTGAGGAATCTTCAAACTAATTTCCACAGTGGTTGCACCATCTACACTCCCACCAACTGTGCAGTAGGGTCCCTTTTTCCCTACAGCCCCAGCAGCATTTGTTGTTGGTTGATTTCTTAATCACAGCCATTCTTTCTGCGGTGAGATGGAATCTTGGGGTTGTTTTAATTTGCATTTCTCAAATGACTAATGATGTTAAACATTTTTTCATGTATTTATTTGCCATTTGTATTTCTTTATCTGAGAAGTGTATATCCATCTCAGCTGCTCATTTTTGGATTGGGTCTTTGAATTTTGGGGGCCTTATTTTTTTAATAGGGACAATTAAAGTTAAGAAAAGAATTGCATTTTGCAGGGTGCAGAACAAGTGGGTGATAAGGTTTACAGGTCACTGGTTCATGGTCACTGTCTTTTACATCCTCCATTCTGACGTCAGATGTCCTATCAAAAGCTCGATTGACCAAGGTTCATGGTCACTGTCTTTTACATCCTCCATTCTGACGTCAGATGTCCTATCAAAAGCTCGATTGCTCTTCTTCTAGAAGAATTGAAGACAGCATTCTCAGATTGGTACCAGGTGTGGGCCTTGGGTGCATGTTCCTGGATCTCCACCAGGCCCACTTGCTCAGTGACTTTGCCTCAGGCTAATCTGCCCCAGAACTGTGTCCTTAGAAGGATCTATTGCCAGAATTTATATCCAGCCACTTCATTTTTATAAACAAGAAGAAATGTTCACAGAGGCAAAGGAATTCTATGAGGACATAGAATTGTTGTCAAATGAGAAAGAATATAGGAATTTCAATTTTAAGGGGATAATTGTTAGTTCTGATTTTGGCTAAAAGAGCACTTAGCTAATTCCTAATGCTTCCCTTTGCAAACAACTCCTTCTCACTTTTCAGCATGGCAAAGCTACTTATTTGGGAGGTGCAGACTGCAGCTGGGATCCTGATATTCAGTACAGACTTAGTCATTTGTCCCACCTTTGTTTCAGGTGTCCTAGATGCCCAGCAAAAAGGTAATCTTTGCTGAATATGGATGAGTTCTTCCAGATCCTAGCCAGCCAAGGAAGTCATTTTCGTCTTCTCATATGAGGAAACCAGCACCTGGAATTCAACTGATGTAAAATGATGTGGCTGGGTCAAAGTAAAATTCTAAATTTTCCTAACTATTACATTTTATTTAATCTTTCCTTTGTGAAGTCATGCTATGGGCTAAATGTTTATATCTCCACACACTCTTTGTTTTGGTATTGGGAGTCAAATTGAAGACTTTGCACTTGCCAGGCAGGTGCTTGTGCTCCTGAGCTATATCCCCGGCCCTCCACACACACTCTTTTGTTAATTCCTTTTTAAATTTTTGATATTGGGGATTGAACCCAAGGCCTTCACACTGAGCTACATCCCAACCCTTTAAATTTTTAAAAAAATTTGGATATGAGTTCTTACTAAGTTACTAAATTGCCCAGGCTGGGCTCAACATTTCTGTCCTCCTACTCAACCTCCAAGAGTGTTAGTATTGTGGGAATACACCACCATGCCAGACTTAGTTAAATCTCACTGCCCAGTGTGATAACATTAAGGGTAGAGACTTTAGGGGTACTTAGGTGATAAGGGCAGTAATGTCATGAATAGGATTAGAGTCTTTATAAGAAGAGACCTTGGAGAGATCCTTCATCCTTTCCTTCATGGGCAGACACCATGGAAAGATGGCCATCCATGAACCAGAAAGTGATCCTTCATCAGACAGGAAATCTGTTGGTGCCTTAATCTTGGATTTCCCAGTCTCCAGAACCATAATAAATAAATAATTGTTGTTCACAAGCCATTCAGGCTCTAGAATTTTGCTATAGCAACCCAAATAGCCTCAGCAAAATAGGGCGGTAGATAGATATGGGACTAGTTAGAACTTTCCAAGGGAGTTGAGACCTGCTTGACTGGCCCTGGCACTGTGGCAGCTCTGATGATGTAGCCTTCAGAAAAGTATTATTGCTGGTCCAAATTTGGAATTAATTTCAGGCAACAGACTTCCTATAAATAAATAAGTTCCCTTTATCTTGTTAAAAGGCGAAAAGAGCTCCTAGAAATGTTTATGGCATGAGGTTAATGAGAGTTGTTAATGTTTTCTAAATGCTCTCAAGAAAGGCCTGCTGTTCACTGGTGTTCATCTATATTCTAGGAAGGGATTTGGCTGTGCACCATTGTGGCGAACACGATTGGATATGTTTCATTAAGACTGCAGCTCCATCTTTTAATTAACTTCTTGTTCCTGTCTTTGGTGAAATATTAATTATTTTTTAATCATCGCTGGGATGCACTTTAAGGAGAAGCAGCTGGAATCGTCCAACCTTAGTTTCATTACACAGATAGGTGTTATAATAATTAACTTAATTAGCTTGTCACTGCTTGCATAAAATATGGCTGCATTTGGAGAACAGATATTGCTTTGCTGATCCAAGGTTAATTAAAAAATAGAGCATACAAGAGGCCAGGCTAAATGGAGTTTGTGGCACCCTGATATCTGGCCAGCCCACTAAAGAATGTTTCTGCAGTGGACCAGAAACCAGAACTGAGCCATGACACAGTTCTGAAGCATCCTTTGGGGTCAACATCTGAAGAGGTAGGGTGTCACCATCACTAAGTGCAGTAGATGGAATCCCATCCTGGGTGATCTCTCTCCACTTCAGGGACTCTTGCTCTGGATCCCTACAGAGAGGGTCCTCCTTCCACAAGATAGAGGGAGAAATGAATGCAAAACTTTCCTTGAGTGAAAGATGATTCTTTGTCATCTCTTGAGATCTAAATGTACCTGATTGCAAGGTAATAAAACCAAGGAAGAATGTAGCTAACATTCACCAAAGGCTTTCTATGTGCCAACTCCTGAGCTAAGAGATTCCCAAATAATAACTCATAATTCTCACAGCAGTGCTAGGAGGCAAAAAGGATTATCCCGATTTTAGAGTAGAGGACACAGACCCAGGGAGATTAGTAGTTTGACAAAGGTTGTATGGCTTGTTAACAATAGAACCAGGTTTTAACACAGGTATTTTGGCTCTAGAGAATGATGCTTAACCACTGCTCAATAATACCTGCTTTTGGATGGAATATTACTATATGATGCTGCCTACTCATTATAATAATGAAAATAAATAGCATTATTGTGGTGGTGAGAAGAACTTCTACAATGCAAACTTGCTTGGCAGAAGCAGGAGCCCTTGCAATCCAAAAGCTGACACTTAATCAGAATGTTTATTTCTAATAAAAATACTGAGGAGCCAGCCTGGGTCTGGAAGAATAATTCCGCTCATTCCTTGTCAATCTGAGGGTATGTTTAATGTTTATAACTGTTTTTGTTTTGTTTTGTAATTACACGGCAAACCATTACAGGTTAATTTGGCTTCACAATCAGTCAAGCCTTCTAACAACTCATTTGGAGGAATAAATGTGCAGCCTAGAAATTCACAGCTTTGCACACTTTGAGATAAGAGCACCTCGCGGCCTTTGGAAATGGTTCATTCGAAAAACCAGTGGGCTGTCTGAAAAATAACAGATATTTCTAACTGCGGTAACACAATAGTGCAAGATATTGCTGGCATCAGCCCTGAAATGTTGGCTGTGCTCTTTGGTGATGGGAAGAAAATTTCCTACTGAACAAATGCTACCTGAAACTGAGATGGACCATGACTGACCTGATGATTTGTCTACATTTCTGAGAAAATGATCTCAAAATCATTTTGTCTGATTCCTCCTAGACTACTGGGTTTGCTGACCCTCTCGGTTGGAATGACTGAAATTTGTTTTCAACTTAACTATTTGTTCAACCTGCTATTATGTTACTTTAAGCTGTTATTAATTTGCTGGAGAGGGACGTGTGGTTTGGAGTGGGTGGTGCCGCTGTGGTTTGTCGTATAGGAGGATAGATGTAGGCTAGAATCTTGGAAAGGAGGAAAATGAGAATGGTTTTTAAAAAATGTCTGTTAATATTATTGTGGCTGTGAATCATGTGCTACATGCCACTACTATCTGAATATTGTCTTCTTTTTGGATTATGAAAAAAAAAAGTAGGAAGTGACATAGAAATAGAGAAAGCCATTATAGAATTTAAAATCTAGAAGAAAAAAAAGATGAAGCGTAATAGTCTATAGCAGTCCCTTTTGTTCCGAAGGAACGCATTCCAAGACCCCAGTGCACGCCTGAAACCTGACAGCACTGAATCCTATACAGTATACATTATGTTTTTAAAATAAACACCTTTGATGAAGTTTAATTTATAAATTAAGAACAGCAAGAATTATCACAAATAAGTAGTAGTAAGGTAGAACAATTATAACAATACACTGTAGTAAAAGTTATGTGAATGTGCTCTTTCCTTTTTTATTTTTTATTTTTCATTTTAAAGAGAAAAAGATAAACAATGAAACAGTTTTGAGACAAGTTGCTTTTTTTTCTTTCTCTCTTCTCTCTCTTGCTCTCACTCTCTCTTTCTCAAAATTTCTTCTTGTGTTGTACTGTGTGTTTGGGCCATAGCTGACTGTGGGTAACTGAACCCGTGAAAGGTAAAAGGATGGAGCAGAGGAACCTGCCATGAACAGTGAACATATCTCACCTCACTGTGTAACTAGCTATGACTTCGAAGAGAAGAGCTGTCTAGGGACAGGTATGTCATCCCCTGAGAATCAGATATCCGAGGACTTATTTTCTTAGCTCTGTTCTTCCTTGAGCTAATGGGAGAGGGACCGTAGAAGAAAATGTCATCGCTCAGGCAGCATAGGTAACCTGAAAGGACATCCTTGGAAACGGACTAGATTGAGAGCATGGTACCCACCCACACAATAGAATGCTGCTCATTAATAGAGAGATGTTGATGCACATACCTACACAGACAGATTTAAAGACCTTGTACTGAGGAAGAAGATGGCAGTCTCCATAAGTAGCATGCTATAGAATCCCATTGCTATGACATTCTAAAACAGATGAAACTATTATGACAAACAGTAGTTCAAGGCCAATGGTTTCCAGTGATTAGGGTCGAGGTGAGTAACTCCAAGGGGGCAACATGAGAGACTATTTGACCCGTGTGCTACTTTCTGTCACTGTTGTAGCATTGTTATACAAATCAGTGCCTGTTACAGCTCAGATGTGTTTCCTCACTGCCTGTTAATTTGGAAAGTAGGTATTGAAAGGTATTCTTATTTTAACCCAATCATTTCTATATTTCCACTCTAATAATAGTTTAAAATAAAACCACAAAGATCTACCGTGTTTCTTTTCTGTTAAAATTCTACCATTTCATTCTGTGTCTGAGAATTGTCCAGGGCTTGCTATGAAAGACTGCAAGAGTCTTGGAGGGTTGGGGAATTTGCTGACCCGTTGGGGAGCTCTGTGGAGGAAGCTCAGGGTAGGCACAGAGGCGGCTTAGGGTTGTGAGGTAGGACCAATCTCAGGAAAACATTCCTGTGCAGTAAGGCTGTGTGCTCATTCAGCCCAGGTCTCCTCAAACCGTGCTCTGTTCTGTGAGCATGGACCTTAAAAGAATGGTAGTTGTATGCGTTTATGTCACTTAAGCCTTTGGTTACTCTAGTGATTATCCATTGGCAATAAAAGGGTTAAAACTTTCAGCAGCAAAATTCCATATCGAGGTAATCTTGCTCAGCTCATATGAAGAAGAGTCATAAGATAAGGCCCCAACGCTGCCCAAAGCCAACAAGAGATAAACAAGTCTCTCTCCCATGGAGAGGTAGCCTTCTGTGAGGCCACAGTAAGTGACCTTATCAATTTGCAACTTTCATGCACAAATTCAGTTAAAATGCAGGTATTCATGGAGGATTAACAAGAAACAAGATCCCTGGAAAATGCATTTCTGAGATATCTGCATTTGCTAACTCAGACTCTCCCAGGTCTTCAATACCTTATGAAAACTCCAGCTCTCACCCTGATACTGCACTTCTGTCTTGGAACCTGCTCACTGAACTAAATTCTCTGTACTCCTTTACTGTTGGTAAATCCTTTTACCATGTACCAACCCTCCACATGCTATCTCATGTGGCAGTTACCTCAAGTAATGGGGACTTATTAAAAGTCCACAGTAGCATAGGACCCAGGAAAAGCCAGGCATTGAAATCTGGAAAAGAGTAGGAAGCAGCTCCCACAGCTGGACCTTTGCTGTGTGCTCCAC